AGCAGTAGCAGTAGCAGTAGCAGTAGCAGTAGCAGTAGCAGTAGCAGTAGCAGTAGCAGTAGGAGTAGGAGTTGGAGTAGGAGTAGGAGTAGGAGTAGGACTAGGAGTAGTCGTCGTCGTCGTCGTCGTCGTCGTCGTCGTCGTCGTAGTAGTAGTAGTAGTAGTAGTAGTAGTAGGAGTAGTAGTAGTAGTAGTAGTAGTAGTAGTAGTAGTAACCTTCGGGCTTCTATATAAGGCTTTGGTGCTTTGGGGAACGTATGCTTCCCCCTCTCATGTGACCCTGGACCACAAGATCCTTACTGTAAGGACACTTGAATAAGGCACCCTTGTTTGTCACAACCCTGAGACCAAGAACTCGGAGTTCAATGGCCCGGAGAGCGAAGTCCCGACTCGAGCAGCCGAGGCGCATCGCATCGTTGATCGTGTCGCCAGTCTGCTTTGGCTGGCTCCAAAGAAGCTTCCCCACCGCTGCCGGATCCACCTGCGAGACGGCGACGGTTTCGCTGGGTCAGGGCTTTACGGTTCAAGGTTTGGGGCTCAGGGCATTAAGGGCTCAAGGCTCCAGCTTAGAGCCATCTGGAAGGATCCTGGGGCCCAGTACTTGTCCTCGTCCTCCTTACCTAAGGTCCGAGGAATGGTGTGCCAGGAGGCCTCCTCGAAGCTGCAGCTGCTCTTCATCTAGTCCAAATAGAGACTTTGTTTCATGCCAAGTTACCCATCTCATTGAACTTTACTGCAACAAGGGTTCCGAAGAGACACTCTAGCTCTAGCTTTCTGCACCCCTGTGCATAAACACCTGCCAGAGACCCCTTCAACCCCCCAATTTTGAGGGACCCCGCAAGCCTTCCGTAGCACCCCGCACGACTGAATCCTGATAGAACTTCTAGAACTATGGTTGCAGATCGCTGAACTCAGAGATTTAGGAGCTACCATTCGTCCTGTGAGCTTCAATCCCTCATCCTCAACTCTAAGACGCCCCCTGAAGCCCGGGTTTAGGGTTTAGGGGACCCTGGATGCGTTGTACCTCTCAACCTGGCCTCGTTGAAGACGATCTGGCTTTGGCCGGGATCCTCGGACGCTAAGGCAAGCACCTTCTGTTGGGTCCTACGCCCTAAACCCTAAGAGCTTCCCTGATTCGGGTTTTGGGCTTTGGAATGTGGGGTTCAAGGTTTGAAGTGGAACTCCACGACAGCAGGTTCCGGAGAAGCATTGACTGCCTGCAAGCCGCAGGCTGGACAGCCAGAACCCTGAAATCCTTCCTAACATTGGAGGCCTTAACAATTAGAATAGGGTTTTGGGTCAACTTTTATGTGGTAATTCACAATTCACCCCACACCCTGTGTGGCTTCATGGTCTCAGCGCCTCGCTGGTAAGGCTCTGGGGTGTCGCGGGTCAGAGTTCCACTCACAAGTGCCCTGAAGTCAAAGCCCGAATCCCTCAACCCAGTGTTGGTATTAGTATTAGTACTAGTATTAGGAACTTATTACTTATTAGTATTAATATTAGTATCAATATTCCCTGAAATCGTCGCTAGGCCCATGAAGTCTCTCTGCCGACTCCAACAACTTCTTGAGGAAGGGCACCATTGGAGGAAGCGCGATTGAGAGTTTTAGGTCTTTGTGCTTAGGGTTTCGGGTTGCCGATGGCTAGAAACTCGTGGGAAACCACCACCTGTAACAAAAGCAAGCTTACGCTATGATGTCTTCACATGTGCTTCTGGTTAACGAATGGCGGGATGCTTGCGGGTCGGGATGGGGGCGTTCGTGCCGCACACAATGGGTTCAGGATTTAGGTTTAGGGTTTAGGGAACTCTGCAACTCCAAAATACTGAAACCCTAAACCCTAAACCCTAAACCCTAAATCCTAAACCCTAAACCCTAAACCCTAAACCCCTGAAACCTGACGCCGCGCAAGGGAAAATCAGGAAGTTCCTCAGGAAGCGGCCTGAATCAGTGCCGCAGGCGGCGCCCTGAAGTCCAGAAAAAAACCTGACAGCCAGACGCTTCAGGGATGCACTTCAGGCTTTAGGATTTCGGAACTTCCCCAAAACACCCTCCACTGTTTAGATGTTAGCCTCAGGAGTTCTGGATGATTGTTGACAGATTAGCGGCAGTGTCAGTATTGGGATTTAGGCCAAGATGGCTAAGATTTCGGAACTTCTTTGGTGCCAGCTCTTCCAGTCGATCCATCATTTCTAACTGAGATTAGTTGTGAGTGTCTAAACTCCGAAACCCTGAAAACGAACACACCTCTGCATCTTGAAACTTTCAACCGGAAAACCCCAAGACCTTGAGAGATCCAAAACCCAGCACCAGAGGTGACATTGATGCCTTCAGAAGAAGCTGGGAGTAGGGCGCACGTTTTCGCCCACCTGCTTCAAATGATCACAAATCAGAAAGGAACCTCAGCGTAGCCACCGCCAGTTGCGAGGGAGGACACCTTTCGGCACTCTGATGAGTCGCCCTCCAGGCCCAGCTGCAGAAACGCTGGGATCGACTGACCGCGGGCAAAGTCTGCCGCGGTCCAATTCCTGGAATTCCGGAGGTCCAGTCTAGCCCCGGCCGCGATCAGGGCCGCGGCCGCCTCGAATTGAGCCGACCGGATGGCCTGCATTAGCGGCGTGCTGCCATGCAAATGGTAGGCTAAAGTCGATAGAGCAGTAGCCCGGCCGAGGCGGTACTGCAAGGACTTCCCGGCAAATAGCAGCCGACCAAGTGCCTTGAAGTCGCGTGCCACATTCATCTGAAAGTCCATGTCGGCACGAAGTCCAATCAAACGCCGCACCATCTTCGCCGAGCCACCGCGGAAAAACGCAGCATCGAAGAGTGCTCGTGAAAGGTCCAGCGAACCTGGGCGACCATGCACCAGCAGTTCCTCCAAAGCTGCTGCGGCTCCGTTACCTGCCGCACACTGCAAGACAGTGGACCCTATCATACTCGTGGCCAGCGGCCTGGCACCTGCTGCGCACAAGAGCCTGATACCTTCCGCATTGTCCGAAGTGGCAGCCCCGATGATGGCTGGCGAAACTCCTCCCTGGAGGTGAGCTCTCATCGCAAGAAGCAGCTGTGTGGCCTCGTGGTGCTTGTAGAACACCGCCAGATCCAAAGCCGACACCCAAGGCGGAAAGCCCAGCAGCGGCTCATCCTTCGACGCGCGACGGTTCACGCTTGCACGCTTCTCCAGCAGCCCTTTCAGTAGCTCTGCATTGCCGGCCAATGCTGCGTAGTGCAGAGGCCACCACCCTGCATTGTCGGCCTCACGGACCCTCCTGAAGCCGTTCTGGTGCAGGAACTCCGCCACTCCATCACCACCAGAGGCCTCGCAGCTAGGCAGCAGGCCGGTCACCGGCTCGATCACAAGCCCCCGCAGATGAACCTTCTGGAGGTTGAAGTGGCGCCGGAACCCGGGCAAGTCGCCCACTCGGAGGCAATGATGCAGTTTTTGAATCAAGATCTGCCGCATCACCGGGGCAAGCTTCTGCCGATCCTGCACGACGCCGAAGTCGCCATCCCCAACGATGCCGCTGGGAAAGGACAGCGCTGTGCCAACAACTTCTATGGAGGCATCGCTCTGAATCAGAAGCCAGGTGCTGTTTGCCGACAGTTCGCGCGCGGCTCGTTCTAGGCGGCACCACCCCCTGCTGCCCCAGGTCGTTCCTTCATTCATTCATGCATTGTGCGTCAACCTGCACCGTACCCGAAGGTTGGTAGTTTAGANNCCCTCCGGGGCGGAGAGCCGCAGCTCCCCTCATTGCTGTGCCCTGCTCCAGCGCAGGGGAGTAGTCGTATAGGCGAGCTGGGACCACGAGTGCCAAAGCATGACACTGGGCCCCCTCCGTTGACAAAAGGCAAGCCTAAAGTCGAGAGGCAAAACCAAACGCCCCAAAGGAAAAGACTTGCGGCCCGCAGTGGCTTCAGACAGATTGGGTCTTCGCAAGGCAGCCAAAGGGGGAACCAAAAGGGAGAGGGACAAAACCGAAAAGGGGTCGAAAAGGGAGCCAAGGAGCGTCACGCCGTGCGGAGCTCACCAATGGCACGTTTCATCAAGTCGTGATAAGGCTCGGTGGCCTCATGCTGAGCATCAAAGGCAGCGCCGCCCCAATCGACGGCAGCGCCGTAGCGGTCACAAGCAGATTGCCAAGCAGCCCGCAGCGGCGTGAGCAGCGCAGTGCAGCGAGCATCGGCTTCGCCGTTGAGAGTCCTAGCCAAGGCGGTGTGGGCAGGGTTGTCGGCCTGCCACCTCAGTTGCTTGCCATGTGAAGGCACCCATTGCACTTGCAAGTCCTCGCGCACGACGTCGGCAACAGCAGTCCAGAAACCAGGGTTGGAGCCGGCCCAAGAACAGGCATGTAGCCCCCGCCGTAGGCGCAGCACAAGAGCCTTGTTGTCCAAGAAAACACAGGCAGGCACGTCCGCATGCCGAAGATGGCGCAGGAGCTGCCAGAGGGCCTCTCGCTCAGCCGCAGCAGGAGTCTGCTCAAACGTAGAAACCAGGCCACCCACAACCACAGAGCCGTTGCTGGTAGCAGCCGCGATGGCCCAGGCCGCGCGCTGCCAGTGTCAAGTTTCGTAAAAGCCCCTTAATTCGTAGCACAGACAACGGCTCCGTCGGCCGCAGCACGCCTGAGCTCCGAGACCAGCTCGTAGTCCAAGTCAGGAGCCTGGGGCGGTCGTTGCAGGGGCAGAGGCAGGAGCTTGCACAGGAGTCGTCTCTCAAGCTGTGAGCCCAGCGGGCGCGTCCACCCGACCGCAGCACAGTCAAAGGTGAGGTGGGTCCGAGTAGGGACCGGCTCACCACACGAACAGGTCAAGTGCACAGCAGCCGGAGGCTTCTTGAGTCGAAGCAAAGCGGCAGCATCCACCGCGCAAGCAGTGGAAGTACGCAGGCCGCGGGCACCCATGATCTCGGCCTTGCGCTGTAGCGGCTCAAAGCACGGGGTGCTAAGCGCGAGGTCGAAAGGTGCACTTTTAGCGTCCTCCTTCCAAAGTCGTTGTAAAAAGGCGTAGTCAGCAGCACGACGCAATGCGCACAGTCCATCCCAGCCAGGCTTAAGCACGCCCAGAGGGGTCCTCCAAGAACCATCAGCCTGACAGGTCCATCCCCACTTCTTAAGGACAGCAGGCCAACGGGGGACGATGGCAGGTCGAGTCAGTACAACAGCAGGCTGCCTGGAGCAGCGATACCACTCCTGGCGGGCAACCACAAAGTCCATAGCATGCTCAGGGTGGAGGTGCGGCCTGCCGGTCACATGCCACAAGAGAAGTCTGGAGCGGCTGGGCGCAGGAGGGCGGCCCCACAAAGCGAAGGCAACGTTCCGAGTCCAAGCCTGAACGTGAGTAACCTTGAACTGGCACCACGGCGCACACCAAGCAAAGAGTGGGAGCACCAGCTGCCGCACGAGAGCACGGCGCAAGGCCATCCCCCGCGCCGCAAAGCCTATGCGCTGGCAACGAGAGGCCACAACAGCAGAAAGCTTGGTCGTCTCAGGCAAGCAGGTGAGCCCCACAGCGTAGTGCACCCCCAACAGCACGAAGTGCGGCCGGAGGGGCCCTAGCCACTGAGCGTTTGTCACCAGAAAACTTTTGGTGAGCGTGCCCGTGCCAAAGCAAGCAAGCTTCTCGGGATGGTGCCGCATTCCAAAGAACCGGTCAACCGGGTCGCCAGCCTGGGCAGCTGCAAGCACAAGAGGGCCAGGTTGGCGGCCAACGGACCAAACGGTCCGGTCATCCAAGTAAGTGGCAATGACGGCTCTGGGAACGGCCTGCTGAACAACCCGAACCCAAACACAAACGATGCAGTTAAGCAAGAGGGGACTAAAGGGGCAGCCCTGAAGTAACCCAGCAACCGGCCTGATGGCGGAGGGGCGGTAAACCCCCTGCCAAGACATGTGTCGCTGTTGCATGGCATAAAATTGCTGAAGCAGCGGTAGTAACGCCCGAGGCGCCCCGAGCCACCGGGCAACCTCAAGCGCCTGGGCCACGTGCACAGAGTCAAAACAACGTTTGATATCAGCTTTGTAGCCCGCAAAGTGAAGGCGGTTGGTCCTTGCGTGGTGCAGGTCGGCAGCAAAACTGGCATGCAGGTCAGCACAGGACCGCCCCGGCATGGAGCCCAAGAGTGAAGGTGGAGCCCAGCTAAGCGCCCAAGCCCGAAGGTTGCGCACCACCACAGTGCCGAGGGCGCGCCAAAGCGCCGAAGCGATGGCAAGTGGACGAAGGCCACCGTCCTCCTTGGGAAGCAAAGTGATCCTAACATGGTGCCAGCTATGCGGGAGTTTGCAAGCACTGAGGCAGCACGTCCACAAGCGAGTCAAAAGCTGAAAGAAAGGCAACGGCAGCAACGCAAGTGCAGCCGGCGCCCAGGAGTCCAAGCCAGCAGCCCGCCGCGAGCTAGCCCGTAGGCAGGCCAGCACCGCCGCAGGAGTCGGATGCAGCAAGTCATCAGCCCAAGGAGCCGTTGCAGGGCGCAGGCGGGCACACCAGTCGCGAGTCTCCTCCGGAGTGTGCGGCGCAGGGATCGACCATTGGGCTCCCCACTTGGCATGCTCAGCAGCAACAATGTCGATAGGATGCACCGGTGCATCGTCAAGAGGGCCAGGAGCCGGAGCAGCAGTGCGGCAGACCCAGCGCCGCAGCCGGTGAACGTTGTTTTGCACAGCATCGTGCCATTGTCTGACACGGCACTGTGAAGCCGAAACCTCAAGCTGCGCCGCCCGCCGTAAAGCATCATCGGCGATCACCTGCGGGGAAGAGCAGTCCGGTAGACCTAGCTCAACCGCATCCCGAAGCACACGTTGCCTAAGGCCAAAAGCCGAGGGATCCTCGGGGCGTCGTTGAAGTTCAAGTGCACGCCGCGCAAGACGGCGCAGGCGACGCTCCGGATGCGATTGCAAAGCTTCGCTCTTAGTTGAAGGGGGGGAGGCGAGGCCTAGGGGAAACAACCCAAGCACGGGGCAAATGGCCGGTATCGGTGTGCGGGTCCCCGGTCATCAAGGACTCAGCGGCATGGCTAAGGAGAACCCAAGCAGCATTTACGTCCGAAGCATGCAGCGCCTGGTCAAACGCAACATCGTGCTGGGCCCACGCCTGCTCCCAAGCCTCGGCCGTAACAGGAGGGAGGTCGGCAGGCAGCGGCCGGCGCGAGGGCGCCCGTGGTAACTCCCGGGTGTCCTTAGCCAAAGAAAAGGAGTATGCCACCAAATCGTGATCGGCTGGACCCGGGGCCTGCTGGCGATCCAAAGCGGGAACCCCCACGGTGGACAACGCGAAATCCACACATCGGCCTGTAGGTTGACCGTGCTCATCCCGGCGTGTGGGCCGCAAAGGAATGTCCCCCTCGTTTTGTCAGCCAACCGCCAGAAGCCCGCAGCCCTGGCGTCAGCAATCGGGGCCCGGTCCGGAGGAAGGTTGAAGTCTCCTAGCAGAATAGTCTCATCACCCCGCGCCGCAGCAAAGCTGAAAACGTCATCAAGAAGCTTGGCAGCGAGCACCTCAGAGGCGGCCGGAAGGTACAAGTTGAGCAGCATAATGGGCCGCCCCACCGGGCGGTGCAACCGCACAGCAGAGCCACGCCCCACAGGCAGCAAGCCCTCGGGCAAGGCGAAAGGCATCACAGGCAGTCGAGAAAGGATGGCCGTACCGTAATGAACCTGCCCAGCCACGTTAGCAGCTTGGGAGCCCAAAGCACAGTGCCACCCCGCATGGCGAAAAGCCGATTCAACAGCAGCCCTCGAATGATCAGGCACCCGCGTCTCCTGAAGCGCCAAAACATCAAGGGAAAGAAGCACAGCGAGTGCAGCCACAGAGGCAACCCGCCCAGCCAAAGTGCCCACGTTTAGGGTCCCAATCCTGACACGAGTGGGCCGCGTCATTGCGAGCCACCCGGGCCCTGGCAAGGCGGCACAGCGTCAACCGACACAGCAAGCGCATGATCATTAGAGCCGGCGGCCCCACAGGCATTAAGGTCAAGAGCAGCAGTCCCGGCATCACCAAGGGCAACAACCTCTGTCGGGACGGCCTGTCTGGACGCCTCGGCGGGCAGCACCTTGTCAAGAAGCTGCAGCACATGCTTGGCGGCTCGAACGATCACCGGGTCCTGGTCCTGCGTGGCATGCACAAGTTCACGGCGAACACGAGCCCCGCCCCGAACAACAGCATCACACAGCTTGCGGCGATCAAGGGAAACACGGCTCTTGCGGCACGCGGCACAGCGCAAGCACAGAAAGCGAAGCTCAAGCTCAAAGCGTTGGTCTTTCCAGAAAGGCCAGGCCACAGCAGCAACATCATGAGCACGCAAAGCCGGCGGCGGCAGCGCCTTGGCAGTGAGCCGGCGGCGCGCGGGCCCCGGCGGGGCAATGCAAGCAAGCAGCTGGCGGCAACCATCAAGCAAAGGGGCAGCATGCCGAGCATCAGCGATCATAGCCCTCACACGCGCCTCAAACTTGGTGCGGGAGGAGGTCGGGAGTTTGCGCTCGCACGCCTGTGCGAGGAGCCGCTTCGGTGTAGTTGCCGTGGCGGCGCAACGGGTGCATGCATAAATGATGCGGGTGCTCCTCGGCTTCTTGGCCGGCTTGCCAAACCAAGGGATCCTGAAAAACCGAACATCGTGTGAGCCAAAGTCGCCCCGACGCCTCATGAGGATGCGGCGGGCAACCCCATCAGCAAGCCTAGTGGCCGAGGCCTTTTGCACACCGGACCTGGCCTGTGGCAGCAGAAAGCGGCGCTTAGGGGCATCAGGGTGGCACTGGGCTCGGTGACGCAAGCGGGCCTGCAGCAGCACATCGGCGCTCCGATCGGGAGCCTTAAGCAACGCCTTGTCACACAAAGGGCATTGCCACTCTACCTGATCATCGGGGCCCGGTGTCACGAACTGCGGCGGTCGGCGCACGAAGTCCTGCAAATGCTCGGGGTGCCAGGCCTTAAGGTGCTGATGCCGGTAAGCGCACCAATGCTTGCCACGCGCAACATAATCACACCAACTGCACTTCCAGCAATCCTTGGCCTTGATGGTGCGGCCCTTGAGCAAACGGCCTCGAGAGTCATAGCGCTGCTGGTCCCCAACGGCAGCCGGCACAGGCAAGCAGTCCTCAAGAAGGTCGTCGGGCGTGCCCGGCGCCGGCGGCCCCGGGGCCAACACATCGTCAACAGCAGCCGGGCCAGCCGCAGCAGCAGCAGTGGGCCCACCGAAGAAAGAGCGGATGCTCCTTGCAGCGACGGGCGAGGCCGTGCGAGCCCGCTTGGCCCGAAGCTTCACCGAAGTGGGCGCAGACGAAGCAACCGAACCATGCACCGAGGCCGCGCCAGCAGTAACAGCAAAGGCGGGGCCGGCCGGCAAATCACAGGCGAGCTCAGGCATCTTAACCGAAGAAGGCGCAGAAGACGCAACCGAGGCGGCATGCGGCAGAGCACTTTTGCGAGCTTGGGCCCGCTGCTTGACCGAAGTGGGCGCCGAGGAGGCGACCGAGGCATAGGCATGGAAATCAGAGCGCGCGGCCCCGGCAGACGCAGCATCAAGCCGCTCAAGGTCATCGGCGGAGGGCCCCCCAACACGCGGGAAAGAGGCCTGGCCAACCTCCTCAGTGACAGCAGCAATCTCATCGGGCAGGCGGGCATTGGCTTTAAGGGTAAGCAGGTCAAAGTGCTTGCCGGTGTGCCACACAATGACCCTAGGCAAAGTGGGCGCAAAGTTGTAGGCACTCGGGGGCAGATCAGTCCGCTCAGGAAGCACAAGGATAGTGCACCGATACGTTTTAGCAGCAGCTAAGATCTCAAGCGCACCGGCCCAAGCATCCCGGGCCTGCATCCTCGTAAGATAATCAGCAAAGGACTCGAGGTGCTGCTGCCGGTCGTCGCAGCCATCCCACCGCTTCTGGAAAGAGGCGGCATACTTGCGCATGTGGGCAATGGTCTCAGCACGCGCCTTGTCCGGGGACGGCGCTGAGGGCAAGGCTTTGGCAAGGCAATGGAAAAGGCAGGAGCCATCGCCCGGCACAACGTGGCGCTCGAGGTCGGCAGGGATCTGGCGGTACCGAACAGCAGCTGCAGCAGCCTTCTTCGCTCCTGGCGCAAGGCGGCCTTCCTCACCTGTGGCCTCAGTTGCCTCAGAGCTCTGGAGAACCGGCTTGTCGATCGTTGTGAACGCCTCGCGTTTGAACGCAAAGGGGCCAGCGCGCAGCGGCTGCCCACGGTCGCGCGTACCTGGCCGGGCGGGGGCAGGAAGAACCCAGTACGATCGCTCCCCCTCCGGTGACTCAACCACAATCTGCTGTGCATCAGCACCGGCGCCCGCAGACGCCCTTATCCACCAGGAACAGGCCCCTTTCCTAACCAACCGTCGAACAACAGCCGGGTTCTGAAGAGAGGTCTGGGACACAAGCAAGGACCTAATATATAGTCGTCGGTCCAAGGCGGTGGCGTACCTGTGATGGTCCAGGTGCGCGTGGGGGCCTGCCCCTCCTGAGGGGCAACGCGGGTGCCAAGCTCCCTGTTACCAAGAAGCAATCCGAAAGCCGGCCGCTCAGCCAGCAGCCGCTCATGCAAAGCACTAAGGCCCTCATCCCGAAGAGGCTTGTGCCAAACCACCGAAACGGTGGGCGTCGTGTCCTGCCGCCCCACCGGCTCAACGAAAACCCCTTGCTGGCCGGAGGCCTTGAAGAGCTCTCGCACACATGATGCGTCGACACGGGCCAGGCCTTGCACGAGCTGATGGTTGCCACGGGTGTGCTTCGCAAACTGCCAGGCATCCTTCAGACAGTGCTGCTTATCAAGGGGAAGCGCAAGCCTACCCCACTCCTGAATGAAACCGCGGGGTGCAGCGAGAGCCCTCTGCCAAAGCTTAGGGGGAGCAAGCCCCTGACACGCAACAACTCGAATCACTGTGGTGGCTGAAGCCGGCGCAGGCGCAGGCTTGGGAGAGGATTTCAAGGACGGGGCCGCAACCCCAGCACAACACACTTCAGTGCGAACGACGTGCTGGGTAACAACCTTGGTCCCTGAAGCAAGCGGAATCACCAAAGTCCCCGCCCGATCCCTATGGAAAACCCAAGCCGAATGAAGCCCCTTCCCTGTAATCTGCTGGGCCGCTGCGTCAGCCTGCTCCGCATCGGCGGCAAGCAAAACGAGCGGACCCTTCGGGATAGAAGCAAGCTTAGCCGAGAGCTCATCATACTGGACAACCGTGCCGTGGAAGTCACCTGGGCGCAATGCAAAGGAGGGAGCCGGCTGGGATGGGCGCGGCGGCGGGGCCGCGGGCGCCGTCACAACTCGAGGCAATGATGGTTCAGCAGGGGGGCCCGCAGGCCGATTGTCTGCTTTGGGCTTGGCCTTAGGTTTGGCTTTGGCCTTGGGGCGGGCGGGCGTGGGGGGGGGGCGATCAGCAAGGAGAGGCCCCAGCGCTTCGATCAGAGACTGAAGTCCCCCCGCACCCTTACCGGAAAGCAACTTAAGAATCCCCTCAAGAACAGCAAGCAGCTGAGCCTGGCGTGCCTGGGCTCGCTTGCGCTTCGTGACGGCGGATGCACCAGGCCCTGGGTGGGATGCTTCTCCTATACGCTGGCCTAGCAAGCCAATGGGGCGGTTAAGGCGAAGGCAAGGGAAGGAAATCTCAGCAACATCAGCCCTAGGAAACCCGAACCCTAGGGGGACACAAGGCAAAGGCCTAAACCCACGGCTGCAGCGTGAGCTTCGGGCTCCAACGCAAGAATTGCAGGGCCTAAGCCCATCACAGCAAAACACTACAAAGCACAACTCCTGACTGTCCTCTGCATAGGCCAGCTCCAGGGCGATGAGGTCGGGAAAGTTCGAAGCCCCCTCGGAGAGGGGCCCCGCCACCACGGAGGCGCGCCGCCCGCGCGCCAGGACGTCTTCCCGCTGATGGCTGCTCCAGGTCGCTGCTGTTATCACCTTGCCCTGCAAGGGGCACTCGAGCACCGGACAAAGCGCGAAAAAGAAGCGGCACTCTCTTATGTAGCCCGGTATGCTGCTGATTGCCCTAGCTTGGTGGAGGTATTCCATCTCGTTGGGCGCTTTGCCTTGACATTCCGGCTGTGGGCATGAAAAATAATCGTACCAGAAATACAACATTTGCACCTGGAATTCCCGCATGGGAACAGGCTTAGCCGTTTGCACCAAGGCTTCCGTGATGAAGTCCAAGGAAAGCGCTCCAGAGCTGTTCAGGATGCGCTTCACAGCATTCTGTAAGGTATGCATCTGCCTGAAATCGGGATCCGGGTGATCCTTGGCAAGCCACTGGTGCGAGACGAATGCTGAGTGGCCCAAGTCGTCGCTGAAGACGACAAGCTCGCCTTTGTCCTTCAAACGGTAAGCCTTAAGTCCAAGAATCCTCCAAACGCCCTTCATGCTGAACTTAAAAACTTAAAACCCTACTGCCTAAGCGCCAGGTATCCTAAAATCCTAGGCCGGGCTAGGCCCTATTGGCGCCACTGAAGATTCGGTGATTGTGGGATACAAGTTGGATTTACAGGAGCTGTCGCCATGCAGTACAACATCTGAGCAAACAAGTTTTAGAATCATGTGCCCCTTCCGCTATTTGGCATGTTGAAGGGGTGGAGAAAGGCCTTGAGGGAAAGAGACAGTGGGGTTTTCATGTGAGGAATACGTAGTCCAGACCTTACAGAAGTCGCAAGCAAGTGTTTCTCAGCCTGTCACCCTTCAATAGCACATCCTGACTCCAAAAGTATCTGCCTTCAACCTCTCGTGGGGCTCGACCCTCGTCATCTTCAGCAGCACATCTGCAGCTACGGTGTACATAGGGAAGAGCATCGGAGCGGCCTGAGCAACAGAAAGTCACACAGACCCATGGCATGGCCCCAACACGCATGCTTATGCTGCTGAGTCATGGAGGCAAGAATGTGGCAAGTAATTGCGGTGCCCAGCGGCGTCTGCATCATTGGGCAACGATCGGCCGTAGATTTCGAGCGGCGTCCGGGGCTTTGCGAAAACGCAGGAAGACATGTGCTCAAGTCGCGATTGACGACGAGCTGAGATTAAGCCCCGTCCCCCAGCTCAAAAACAAACAAGGCTTTGGATTCAGAGATTCCTTGGGATGCCGATACCCTGCCTATGTGCACAAGAGGGCGGTGAGGGGCCAATTAAAACTGGCAGAAGCTCTGATTTCAGAGTTGCCCGAAACTCTGGCCTTGGACCGAAACGAGGTTAAACACTTAAACAGACGAGATCATGTAGTAATAGATTTAGGGTTTAGGGTGTAGGGTGTAGGGTTTAGGGTTTAGGGTTTGCTAGCGCAAAAACTAGTACGAAACTATATTCATAGTAGTGGTAATACTCATGCTAATACTCGGACGTGTACGGATACATGTACAACTACTTGCGTGAGCAGCTTGCTTTAGCCAACCTTCGAATTGTAACTACTGTGTTACGTATGCTCTTGAGTTCCATATTACAAACGTGAATATGAATTTACAGCAGTGCACATGTAACAATATTCTCTGAGTAGCCGAATTCATAAACACTGTCGCCTCCACCTGCAATGTGAACATCACCCGCTGCTACAAGTATTTTCGCGGTACCCTAAACCCTGAACCCTTACATGGGGCTTTCCTAGCCGATTGAAGTTACAGAACGGGGCGACATGGGGGGCCTCGATCGCTTCGAGGCTTCTAGAGTCGGCCCACTGCGGTTCTCTGAATTCGGGTCCCTGTTAGGGTTCTTTTCATAAGGGTGGCGTACTATTTTGGGGATCCACAAAAGACCCTAATTTAGTCAACTACCCTCACCCAGAGGCACTTCACCCTGAATGGGCTACGGCAAGGCTGCCAAGAAGAGTCTGCAAGGGCTACTTTTAGTTACCTCTTAGGGTTCTACAGGGGGTACGGAGACCCTAAGCCCTAAAACCCACCACCCCGAAACCCAGAACGATTAAACCTTGCCTCGAACCCCGGTAGACCCGAAGTCGGAGCGCTTAGGGTCTAACGGCTTCTAGGGCTTACGGCATTTATGGTCCGGGGTTAAGGGATTCAGCTTGGCTTTAAGGCTTCGAGTCTAGAGTTCAGGATTTACGGAGGAGTTTTTTCGGTGTAAAGCCACCCCGTTCGGAAGCTCGGGGAGCTGGAATAGATTTACATGTAAATAAGTAAATATAAGAGCCTCGAGGCTAATTCAGAACATGGGGGCCTTCGCGGACCTAATCGAGACCGTAAATGTGTAGGGGTCTGACTATCAAGTAAGACCCCCATAGAGGAGGTCTGAAAGGGTTTACTGGTTTGGGGTTTCCCCAATACAGGACCTCAGAAATCCCTAAACCCTAAACCACCCGTTAACCAGGAAACCCTGAAGGGCTTGGGGATAATCACTTTCCCCCTGGCATGAAGCACGCACCTCATATTCATCACGCTTTTATTCATCACGCTTTCCGGAACATCATCCTGAACACATCCTGGCATTTTAGAGCCTGTTCTGCATCTGAGAATTTAGGACAGGCAAGCCCCGCTCCAATCATGAAAGGCGTTAGTTTCTATTGGCGGCAGAGGCCCCCCCCCCCCCAAAAAAAAA